CAGTCAGTAGCTCAGACTCAATAGCTTACAGTCATGATCAACAGCTCACCCTCAGTCACTCAGAGTCAACAGCTCACAGTCACCAGCAGCCTCTCACAGTCAGTAGCTCAGACTCAATAGCTTAGTCATGGCCAACAGCTCACCCTCAGTCACTCGGAGTCAACAGCTCACAGTGACCAGCAGCCTCTCGCAGTCAGTAGCTCGGACTCAATAGCTTACAGTCATGATCAACAGCTCACCCTCAGTCACTCAGAGTCAACAGCTCACAGTCACCAGCTGCCTCTCACAGTCAGTAGCTCAGACTCAATAGCTTACAGTCTTGGCCAACAGCTCACCCTCAGTCACTCAGAGTCAACAGCTCACAGTCAACAGCTCACAGTCGACAGCTCACAGTGACCAGCAGCCTCTCGCAGTCAGTAGCTCAGACTCAATAGCTTACAGTCATGGCCAACAGCTCACCCTCAGTCACTCAGAGTCAACAGCTCACAGTCACCAGCAGCCTCTCACAGTCAGTAGCTCAGACTCAATAGCTTACAGTCATGGCCAACATCTCATAGTCACCAGCGGCCTCTCACAGTCAGTAGTACAAATATTGTAAGATTGGTTATGACTTTGTACCAAGTAAAATATCTTCAGGAGCTCATACTCATTACCTTACAGCTCACTGTTAGTCATTAAGTTTCAGTCACTCAGAGTCAACAGCTCACAGTCACCAGCTGCCTCTCACAGTCAGTAGCCCAGGTCAAGGTCAGCAGCTTACTGTCAGAAACTTAGTTGGTAGCTTACACTCAGCAGGTCAAGGTCACCAGCTAACTGTCAGAAACTCAGTTGGTAGCTTACACTCAGCAGGTCAAGGTCACCAGCTTACTGTCAGTTACCCGCACTCATTGGCGAAATGATACAGATGACTGGCAAATCATACATGATGCTGAAATGATGGACACACAGCAAATCATAATGCTGAAAGAATTGAGATGCTTGGCAAAACTTTACGAGATACAGAGTGGTTGTGATCTTATGATAAACCTTGTCAAATGCAAAACTTGAGAATACTTCCATAATGTGATAGGTATCTTAAGTCATATCACATGAAATATCAACCATGTGTAAAAACAAAGACATCAGTAGGATCTTTCTAGAGACCAGAATCTGTTACATATGTAATGGTTACCTGTAGACTGGAGCCACAATGTGACAGCAGGATTAAGTGTAAATGATAATAAAAAAATCAACAGATAAAACATGTTTTGTGTACATCTATAAAAACTCTACACTAAAAAAACATTATGGCTCATATAGGAGACAATGATTGTTGTTGATGACCAAGATAGACATCCTATGTTACACCACTCTCACAACAAAGTAAACTGACTGTCACACTCACTTTATTATCACAAGGCCCAAGTTTGGCAGGGCCAACATATTAGGGTTTAATCTTACTTCACTGAAGATGTTTGGGAATTTCACATACTTGTTCAACTGTGAAAAATACAACGAATACACAAGCTGAAGAAAAGTTTTAAAATATCATAGCTTGAATAAAAGATTCCACTGATTCTAATGCTGTACAGAAAAAAAATCATGTTTTATCACAACCTTATACTTTTACTATAGCAGGAAAATGCTTCCATTCACCAAATTTCATATAAGTATATGAACAATTCTTTAAAGGTCCCTTTAAAAACACATAGTCTCTTATGTGGCTCATTTTGCCAGTTAGATAAAATTGGCAATGAAATGTAAAAGGAGGTCAACAAAATAATATACCCAACAAAACAATGTACAGTAAATATGACTTATAGTCTATACACTTATCAGGTTTGGAACTAACACTAGAATTTAACAAACATTTCATGAATATGGATGTGTCGCCTGCCTCCACTGGTCAAAATCTAACTTGAGCAGGTAACTGATAGTGTAGGCATGTGTTGAAAGGTTAATAAAATCAAAGCATTTCTTTAAGGGTTAATTATCATACGGTCACCATGTGACATTTTACAAAATCCAAAATGGCTACTGGCAGCCATGTTGATTTTCAGATTTGGTTCAAAGCTGAATATGAGTGCGCATGATTGATACTTTATGTATGTGTAGAAAGTTTTAAGAAAAGAAACCATCGGTGCAGGTGTCAACACTGGTAGAGCTATCTCTGTCTTTTGTTACCTTTACTTTGCAGGCGACACAAAAATGTGGTTGACCTTAACGTGACTTTTTGATATTCTGGATGCTCAGCATACCGGCGTCATTTCAGAAATTTATGGAGAAATATACATTACACAATGCACATACCTATGACTTGTGTTAGAGTCAACATCCCTATGACTTGTGTTAGAGTCAATGATATACAAACACAAGTACCAAACTGTGCCTTACACATGTACTGTATCTGTGATTCGTGCAAGTAATATCCCTCAAATACATATGGTACATTAAACAATATATGTCAGTCTCAAGTAGGCACATACTTACAAATAATTTTGTCAAAAATACATTTTTCACCTTTGAAGGTTTCTGTGCTATGGCACTGGTTTGTGTCAGAGAAGACATAGTTATACTGGTAATGTAAAATGCTGGGTAAAGAACCACCGTCCAATATGTGTGAAAGAATATTTAGATTCATCATCTAGAATTTAGGAGGATATCTGGTGGTATACATAGCCCTCTTACTTTACCTGATCATCATGTAGCAATCACAAAATAGCTGTGCTCTGATGACAGCCTGCCTATAGCTTACATATTAGCAGTATAACTTTAATTTTGCATTTGAGTTATCTCCCTTAAAAAAATACAATTGAAAATACACCTAGTCTCATGCACATTTTAAATGTGTTATTGATTAGGTTATACACAGTACTTCCCCAAATTATCATCAAAAAAAATAAACAGTACAACTTTCTTAGTGTAGATCTTTTGGAAACAAAAGTGAATATCAGAGTATGTTCATTAGCAAAGACCCATACTATATAAACAACAATATCTAATGATAATTTCGAATTCACATTCTGCACCTCTCTTTGTGACCCATAGGTTACAATGAAGATTCTGTAACCAGTACAAGATCTACCATTTATCGGTAATGAGGAAACAATCATAAGTAATATTCATTAAATTTGAATTTTCCAATGAAAAATGAGTGGTCCAGAAAATCCAAAACTTTACAGGTACCATATTAAACAATGGTACCATTTGTACAACTTAATACATCATAGATGTACAAACAACACTATAGATCATGATAAAAGTTTGAAAGACAATGTAAAATTCAAAACGGTTATATACATCATAAATGAATATCCCATCTTACCGCACAGTAACGTTAGGTATATGCAATCTGGAGAAACAATACCAGCTAACATACAGATAACCTGCACAACCTGGATAACAAAGTCTCCTGGACACTCACTAATGACATAATTACGTTGATAGATTCATGAACGTATGGATCAATTCTCATCTACAGTCTATATCATCAATGATAATTATCGGTTTCCCAAAATTTGAGAATATGACCAAAAACTTTTACCATATTATAATTTACTTGCCAAGTAATCTTTAATAGGAAAACTCAAGAAAAATTGAATCTTAGACTTAATTTGCAATATCTTTAAAAAAAACAATATTTCATGTGTTACACATTGTACATTACAGTATAATTCACTTAATGTCATGTTTCTTAATGTCACAATTTAGTTAATATCATGCTTTCATAAAACACCAGCTTTCTCTCTATATATATTGCTGGTTGTTTAACTAGTTTTATATCATTTGATTTGACATGATACTCCTCTTAATACAAATTTAATTGCCAGTTTCCTAAACCATCACATGGTACAGACTTAAACTTATTAAAACAATGTTGATTCCTACTGAAGCATGATAAGGGGGATTCATTTCTGTTAATGTCACACATCACTTTATATCATACTTTCCTCTGTTAAATGAAACATGATATTAAGAGTTCTAAAACTAAGCATTTGTTCTCAAATCACAACCTGTTTCTTTAAAATGGAAAAATTATTACCTAAGGCCTTAAAAGAATGTTTGGGTTTCCAGTAACCACTTACAAATCTGTTACTCATCAACTCTCCATAGAACAATAGAGGGTCAATCAGATATATAGGGGGGAGGGCATAGCCAAGGACTCCTATACCTTCTATACCTCCTATACATCTTTCTGAATGTATATGGTTCTTTGACGTGTCTCTAAGTGATATTATATCAAAAATTTATGGCATCAAGAACCTTTAAAAAGACTTGCATTCTTATTCATTTTACTTAACAGAACATCGTCCATTTTATCAAAATCAAGACCAAATGGTCTTCAACCAATGCAAGTTTCTAAATCAAATTTAAACAAGGACTGTCAAAGTCATAAAAATCTGCTAAAGTAAGTCTGTATATTTTTCACAGATGGTTCTGGGAACTAGTATTTTAAGGCCTTTAAAATACACTGTATTACAATTGTTCATGCATAGTTACAACATCAGGTAGCAACTACAGCTGAGCCTCATTAATTCAGTCACCACTAATCTGTCCCAATATGAAGCCAGTGATTCAGGGTACAGAATGTCTTTCTTCTATACAAGCTTGTACCAGTAATCCAGCCGTCTCATCATTAATTAACCCTTTCACCACTGTAGACCGTAATGGACTTATCCATATCAATGCATGGTAGAGTCTACTAAAGTTACATACCTAGGGGTGAAAGGGTTAAGCCACCTTTGTTGGTGGTGATGATGGTTTGATTATCAAGGCTCCTCTGTATATTACTTTAAATTACATAATGATGATTGTAAATTTTTGGGTCCAGCATGACTTTATCACATTAAAAAGTTTTAATTATGTTAAACATATAAAAAAAAGAATGCAATATCTCACCTGTGAGATATGTAGCAGTGTTTAAGGAATGTATGAGGTCCGGCAATGAAGTTTTACTTCTAATAGACTATGAGAGATATTCTGTGTTGATTTGATATGAAGTAATACCTCTCCGAGATATATCCTGGGTCAGAATTGATTTGATGTGAAGCATTACCTCTCTGAGAGATGTCCTGTGTCAGCGTCGATTCGATGTGAAGTTATACCTTTGAGAAGATCCAGTGGGACTTGGACTCTGAAACAAAACAAGACTTTTCAACACATTTTTCCTGTTGTATATTTGATAGTCAAGGCAATAGACTACCAACTTAATGTACCTATAACAGGGTTTTTTATGCTGGGTAAAATTACACAATCTGAATGAAAAAGCCAGATCTATGCGTTGGGAAAGTATTCGCCGTCACATTAGACTGAAGTTTTCTTTGCAAAATTATCTCCCATTTAGTATACAGGTATTAGTGCATAATCATGGTGTAAGTAAAATCTATGTGTAAGTATACCAGTTGGTATTAACTATATGTTACATTATCGACTGGTCTTCTAATGGATGAAACTTCAGGCAAGTTTTATTCATGTGTATTGTCTACCATTACACTGACATGTAAATACTATATCATATATGTTGTGGTGTACTAATTTTCGCTGTCATCATAAATTCACCCTCATTTGGGAGGACGAAAAAAAAACTTTCCCGGTAAACAGTATGTATGTCTAAATTTCTGTTGTACCCAATGACACAGTTTTATTGCGTCATTTGGACACACATTTTGTAGTCTGGACAGTGGTCATCTGAAAGTTGGTTAGGCAAATTCTGGTAATGAATTGTCAATCATCAAACTATTTTTTTTTTATCATAATGTTCAAACTAAGAAAGACCAATCTACTCACCAGTTGTTTACATATCAAGGTGGAAATGTATTTTGTATTACCATAAATAAGTACCTACAAAATTTTGATTTTCTGGTTGGATTATTTAAATATCCTGTACAAATTTTATAATGAGTATAACAAATCTGTTGCTGACTGGAGTTTCGGTCAACAGTTTTGGTTTCCTGTTCAACAAAACACCTGTTGCCTTCAACTCCAGTCAACAACTGTATACTGCTACACTGAAAGAGACTACACACGTCTATCCTGAGGGCCACCTGTTGTTCCTTGTCCTGATCCTCTAACAGCTCAGACTCCCAATCCTCGTCCTCGTCTGCCGGGTCAAAACTGTACATAGGCATCAGATGATGACGCAACCTCTCCATCCTGTAACAAACAGGAGCCTGTATTCTTAATCAGGTTATGATACAAAGATACTACCACAGCGTGACATATCCTGCCGGGACTATAAGACTCTTTCATGTACAGGGGTGTAGGATAAGGAAATTCCACCCGAGGGGTAAAACCTGAGGTTTTGCAGAGGGTTTTGCCAAATTTGAAAATCCTAAGGGTGGAATTTCCCTATCCTACACCCTTTGGCATGAACAAGTATTTTTCTCTCATTCCAACTACCAGAATAAGCTCAGAAACCATGAAAATGTGCTTTGAATGGCTACCATTTCGAAAAAGAAAAAAAATCCCCTATGAGCTTTTTCTTAAAAGGTTTCAATTTCATCACGTTGCCTTTTCCGTATTGCAGCATCAGTGTTTTCCAAATTTGTGATGTCACGTCATTGTTGAGCCATTATGGCGTCAGGCACATGTAAGATAGACTCAGCAAGCATGGTTATCTTACATGGCCAGCGTTATCTTACATGACTGGATATGAGAAAATACATTGTGGTGACCACATCGTAAGTACAGAAACTGTACCTGGTATAAGAAGCCACATCTCTGATGAATCTCTGCGAGTGCTTGCTGTTACTTCACTGATATCTATATAACCTCCCAGCTGTTTCTATACCCAAATACAACTACCCTAATGTGACTCTCTTGATTAGCCCACGTTTCCTCTAGCCCTTAACACCACTAGACATATATCTGTCAAAATGTCTAAGTCTGGTGGTGTCAGGGCCAGAGGAAACTCGGGCTAACCACACATATATCTGTCAAAATGTCTAAGTCTGGCGGTGTCAGGGCCAGAGGAAACTCAGGCTATCTTTTGATATGACCATCCTGATATAACTACCTAGCTGTTACTACGCTAATTGTCTATCATATGACTACTCTTGATGGAAGTATCACAGAATTATTATCTATTTGTATTACTAAGTTCATGTTCAATATTACTTACTTGCTTCTCCTCAGCACTATCACTACCTGTAGAAGAAGTAAATGTCAGTTTTTAGGCATTTATATATCAAGAAAAAAATATTTGCTTATGTATATTTGCGACATTGCTTTAAATTGTCGGTGTTTGTATCATTAGACATGTGTCTACCAGATTAAAACTAATTGTGATATTTTGTTAAAGGGGCTGGGCGGGGAAAAAAATACAAAATAAATGGGTCTAAATGCGTTCTCTGGCCTTCCAAAAGTTATACCATGGCAATATGATGGTCGAGTTCTGCTTGCAATGTCCAGTTTTGATCACTGATATCTCGGGGAAGCCCAGCGTAAATTTAGGGCAGATCTATTTATATATGTCCTGTGGTTGTTTCGAAAGTGAGGCAGTGAAGATAACAATAGCACGCCGTCTATCAGCCATGTTGGACTCAACTAGCGGACAAGACGGCAATACTATACGTAAATAATTGTTTTCAAGGGTCATGTATGATGCAAGTGTAGTATTCCTACCTATATGTTGTTGTTATATATAACGGTATTGATACCTTGTGCCTGTCATGACTTTTGCATGCATTTTTCTTTCGCCGCGATGTTTACATTTGGCCTTGTTGATGACGCACATGCTGTAAAATTACATCACTGATCTGGCTAAATTAGAGATTTAGACTGTCAGGTGTTGATATAGGATTTCTTTAATATAATTATGATTTTTACTCTTAGGGAGTGAATTTCAGCAAAATTTGAATCAGTATATTTCATAAGAAGGTATTTTTAACATGTGTATGCCATTTTAGCAAATATGACATTTTTTCCCCGACCAGCCCCTTTAAGAACAAAGTAAAACTTGTGTCCTCTGGAAAAGATTTTATCTTGTTGACATATTGTGTCTCTCTGTTTTACTGTAGTAACATCAACTTTAAACATATTGATGAGATAAGTCCAGACTTTGGTTATACTCACCACTATTGCTAGTAAGATGACCAAGAAGAGAGAGCCTAGAGGGACCAGAATGTACACGAGGGTGTGACTCTCGGGGCTCAGGGGTGGTCCACTGGTTGATGTGGCTGATGTTACATTTGTTTTGTCCTCCCAGGAACTACTATTACTCATTGCGTCAGTAAATAAACGCTGATGGCAGAAGTATCTGTTGGTTACCTTGAGAGGTCAGTGAGAGGTCATTGGAAGGTCTGAGGTCAATAAGAGGTCAATAATGATATGCCTATAAGCCATATCTTCTGGCTTGGTCACACTCTTCGAGTCAGCATCTGCAACAAAACAGTGTCACAAAAATCAATTCATTCACACAAAGTTTATGTCATCCTCATTTCTTGTTTTCATCTTTTGTAGTAACCATAATATACATGTCAGATAGTAACATTCCAACTGTGGGTACACAATTTGGAGGCTTGTCAAGGTCATCAAATCCAAATTATGTAACAAAGGGTGGATTATTTCTATCCTACCTAAATGACTTATGGTTGTTATTTTCGTACAAATTTATTTGATTTTGACAATTTTGCTGCCATCTGATAGCATTGAAAAATCTACTTTTTTAATAAATAAACACTTATTTTAAAATTTTCCTTTTTACAGGCAATTTCACATCAGTTTGGTTTATAATCCAAATTAAATATAACAAGACATTCCAGGCAATTAGAACAGGGAGGGGTCAATTTCAGTTTGATGGGTCAATGGCCCCATGGTCCCCTACAAGATTATCCTTGCAATACTTATACACTGCTTTTGTTACCTAAATTTTACCAGCCTGTTCTGTTATGGATTGGGAAAATATAGTATTACTTGTATTTAAATTGGTAATAGATTCCTTAGTTTTTGTCGTTTCGGGAAAATAAGACAGTTTTTAGCTAGACCGGGGAAACAGCCTGTATTCGGCAGTAAAACTGAGCAAAATGAATCACTGCAAAGATATGTAGATTAAATACTTTAACTGCAAAAGTAAGCAAAATAAATTAAAACAATGTAATACTTGTCTGACAGCGTGGTATCATCTCAATGTTTTTGCATTGACATAATAATGCCCATTTAAGAAAGAATTTTCTTCAATCATGGAAAAACTCTTAATTATCTTACAAGAGCAGCACTGTAAGAAAATAATTGTACCCATGTTGCCACTCTGTTATATTTTTCTAATAATCAGTCGAGTTTTCTCCTTGTTTGTGTATTTAGTTTTATATGATGATAACATATTTATGAGCCTATGACAAAAACTAATGTCTGCAATGACCTTGTCTGTGATCGAATGACAATTTATTTGGTTAGTTACATAGGCGGAACTTCAATCAAAAACCTTCCGGAATTGGTGATATCACTCACTAATTTTATACATGTTATCATCTATTAATATCAGTTATATCATCAAAACGTAAAGGTGTCATTTTTTATTATTAAAGCTCTCTGTAGGCCTACTTTATCTTCAATCAATATTTCAACAAATCTAATTATGATTAGAATAGATAACATGTGTTTGCAATGCTAATTAATAACCTCGTGATTAGCCACTAAGCATTCTTGTGTGTAGAAAAAGATATAATGGACAAATAATTTACAGGGAAATCGGTGTGTGTCGACAACCAATTTAACTCTAAGCAATCAATAGGAAGTCACTTTCGTTTTTGACAGCATGCTTCAGTCACTGGGACTAAACACCCTCTCAAAACCAATCTCCTCTATACAATGGTGTTTATCTTTATATAGGCCTAGAGAAAGGTTGATTCAGTGATGTTAGGAATCGATCTCCAAAGGCCAAGGTTGTGACAGCAGACAGGCAGACGCTCTCGCTACACCACTTACAAAAAATGTCATGCAATTTAACGTATTGTTTTATCGTACGCGAAAAATCTCTTTTGATTAATTAAACAAAGCATGTGTAACTAAACCATGTTGTCTTCAAAATGGTGATGTCGTGTACCTCATAATGTCAATAAAAATCCAAATCAAACTACCTTCTGCCGTCTTGCCGAAGCAACAATACAGTAAACATAAATGAGCTCTACGAAGGGAGTTAACTTTGGCGGGAATTATGAAATTATTCTGCACGATGTTGCATGTAAAATCACGGACTTAGATAGCAATCAAATCCCGTGGTAAAATTGAGGAAATAAGGATCAAATCAGACACCCAAACGCACATCATTATTAATAAAATTTACAAGTTTCAATTATTTAAAGCTACTACTAACCGATAACCACTAAAACATGCAACATTTCCACAGGAAATCGATCTAAC